GCTGCCTTCCAGATGTTTAGTACATGTCCTCCCAGACTGCTGGCAGCGCGTATCCACTTTCAAAAAAAAAAAAAAAAAACAACCCATGAAAACCAAATACAAGATCAGAATCACAGTATTGATTTTATTTATTAAAAAAATTTTAATGTTTTATTTATTTCTGAGAGAGAGAGAGAGAGGGTGAGCAGGGGAGGGTCAGAGAGACACAGAATCTGAAACAGTATCCAGGCTCTGAGCTAGCTGTCAGCACAGAGCCCGAACCCACAAGCGTGAGACCGTGACCTGAGATGAAGTCGGACGCTTAACCAACTGAACCACCCAGACGCCCCAGAATCACAATACTGATTTTTCAATATCTTGCCAGTGTCGCAGGAACATTTCCTCATGTCTTCCCCTACAAGACCTTAACAGCTTTGTGACCTTCTGAAAGCCCGGATCTGTTTAACCAGACCCAGTGATGGGCATTTGGGATTTCTGGATTTCCCTCTTACAAGCAGTGTGGTGATGGGCTCTGGGACCTCTGTGCCTAGTTTATTGTAACAAATTCCTAGAAACCCTGGGTCACAAGTTATGGCCATTTTTAAAGACCCTGGAGACCCATCAAACCACCCTCGTGTTCAGTAGGATGGGGTGTCCAATCCAATTCTGATTTCCTCAAGGCCCAGAAGTCTTGGTCCCTACCCCTCCCAAGGGCAGCTGTGTGCCCCTGTCCCCACCTCCACATCTGCACTGAGGCCCAAGCCCTGCTCTGGGCCTGGTGACTTGCCATGTTTACACACACTCGGGGCCTTTACCTGGGTCCATCTGGGTGAGTCAGCTGATGGGGGGGCGGGCACCACCCTTCCCAGAGCAGGAACCTTCCAGGGAAGGGAACAGACTCTTTCAGCAGTGGCTGGAAAAGGACGTTCAGAGGCATCTGGCCAGCAGGTAAGAGCGGGGGCCCGTACGGACAGGGACCGAATCCGTGAGGCTTGCTCTCCCCCACCCCGACCCCCGTCCTATCCCGACCCTCCTGGGTTCCCAGGCAGCCGCAGCCCCCTCCTTTCAAGGTGCCTCCCTCTGGAAGCACGGTGTGAACTGGAGTCTCCTTCTCTGACCCCAGCCCGGGGTGAGTTTGAGGGCCCAGTGATCTTTACCCAGACGCCGGGAGGGCTGCGGGCTCCTTCTGACCGCTGCTGCCGGTGCTGGTGTGGAGAGAGGGGGCCCCCACTCTGCTCCTTCAAGTGTGCCTTTGGAAGGCCTGGCGGAGAGCGCGGTTCCGCAAGGCATGGGGAGTGCCAGCCTCAGTTTCTCTTGTTTCCCTGTCTGAAGTGGTTTCTACCAACTTCCCTACCACGGCAAGGAAAAAGACGATGGGGAGCGGGGCCGGAGGCTTGACCTTCTCAGGACTGGTTTCCTCCTGTGGAGACTGGGAACAGCCCCCACGTCGGGAGGACTGAATGAGCTAATGGCCGTGGGGCGACAGTCGGTGCCCTCCAAGCAGCACAGTCTCAGCAAGTGGTGCTGCAAACGAGGCTGCCATGTGCTGGGAGGCAGGCTCAGTACCTAGGGCCGCCTAAGCACCAAGAGTTCTTATTGTTTCTACATAGTTTTTCTTTGCCTAAGAACTTTGGTTTCCAAGCCAGTAGCGATTCTAATGCCACCACCTCTGCTTACCGGGGATCCCTGCGTCTACTCCTGCCCCTCGGGTCTGTTCTCCAAATGTCAGCCAGAGGGAGCCTGTTAAAATGGAAGTTGGGCCATGTCACTTGTGGGGCTCAACAGTCTCCAGTGGCTCCACTCTCTCAGCAGAGCAAATGGGCAATCCTGGCCAAGGTCCCCTGGGGGAGTGGCCTGCTCACTTCTCCCGCCTCCTCACCACCGCTCCTCCTCTGAAGGACTCCAGTCTCACCAGCCAGATGACCTCAAAGCAATAGGCACGCCCACCTCAGGGCCACCGCAATGACCATTTCTGCCTCGACGCTCTTCCTTAGCCCTTTAGGCTTTTACACAAGTCACTCGTCACCCCCACCTGGCAGTGAGGCCCTTCTGGACGCTCTACCCTCCATCCTGCTTTATCTTTCTTCCCTATCACTTCTTACCACCTATGAGCAAACACAGTTACTTATCCAGCTAGAAAGAAACCCTCCTCAAGGACAAATTTACCCTTTGCTTGCTGCCTAAAAACCTAGAACAGCACAGGGACTTAGCTCCTTAGTAAAGGTCCCAAATGAATAGCTAATGATGACTGCATGCCCTTCATGTGCTAAGTGCACTCCATATGGATCTTATCTCTTTTTAAGGATCTTTAATTTTTTTTTTTAAACATTTACTTATTTTTGAGAGAGCGTGAGCAGGGGAGGGGCGGAGAGAGAGGGAGACACAGAATCCGAAGCAGGCTCCAGGCCTCCGAGCTGTCAGCACAGAGCCTGCCGCAGGGTTCGAACTCACAAACCACGAGAGCACGACCGGAGCTGAAGTCGGATGCTTAACAGACTGAGCCACCCAGGCGCCCCTCTTTTTAAGGATCTTTAAATCCCCACAACAGTACTTGATGCAAGTACTGTTACCCTGTTGCCTGTATCACAAAGGATGAAAGGACACTCAAAAGGGGCTTGTCCACGCTTGCTCTTACAAGCGAAGAGGCGGCAGTCTGCCTCCGGGTGTGCCTGCCTCCCAGGACTTGCTCCTGCTCTGCCTCTCCAGGGCCTGCGTTCGGGAGCATCTGCATTCCCTGTAGACGTTCACAGCTTTTCTCCAGCACAGCCCTGAGGAGGAGGGGGTACATGCTGGTGGCCTAGCAACAGCCTCTTCCTTTCTAACTCCCCACATCCCCGGGCTAATCTGGCCTTCCAGGAGCTATTCCTCTGACACCCTAACCCACGCTTCCCTCCCGCACACACTGTCTTCTGAAGGATGGATGAGTTGTCCGCAGGAACAAGTAGGAGTCCTGTAGTTTCGGCTTTGGAACGAGGTGTTCCAAAGGAGTGTTCTCACTGCAAAGTCCAAAGATGGAAGCTGGCAACCCCTTTCAGCCCTCTTGATCTCCGAGGACCTGACTGCCGGACTGGTGTGGGTGGTGTGATTGCTTGTAAAATCAAGAAAGTACAGAAACTCAGCGATGGAAATTCTGCGAGGTGCAGGGGAGAGGAAAATTCCTTTGAGAGAGACGGGTTATTTTCCTTTCAGAGGAGCCAATTAATTGCAGGAAGCCTGTACTGAACTGAGCACTGTCAGATTGTAGGAGGCAGCCTTTCAATCTCCCTCATCAGGGAACTGTTTTTTTTGTGGGTTTTTTTTCCCCCTTTCCTTTCTAGGCCCAGGGTTTCTCTTCAAAGGACTTTTTTGGGTTTTCTCTTCCCTGTGTCTTTTCCATTCCTTTAAGAAACAGTTAACTGGATGCCTGCTGTGTGCCAGGCACTGGACTCAGCACTGGGAAGGAAGACAGGCAAACAAAGATGGCACAGCGCAAATCCAATCCAGGAGGGAGGGAGGGAGGAAAGAAAGAAGGTAGGCAGGTAGGTAGGTAGGAAGGCTGGTTCGAGAGGGTGGGTGTGGGGTGTTACTACAGGGATAGGGAGGCCCGGACCTAAGGGTCCAGCTGCCTTCCAGATCTTTACTACGTCATTTCCCCCCTAGCTTTGCTGCGCCCTACAGCTGGCTACCCAGTCCCCCTCATGGTCTGAGCCAGAAATCTGGTGGGAGTTCACCTCAGCTCCTGCAATTGGGAGCCATACCCAGCTCCTGCCCTCAGGATCAATCTCTAAACTTCAACACGGAATTCACATCTCCATGACCTGACTCCTGGTACCATCTGCTGTTGTACCTCCTCGCTTTCCACACTCACCCTGCATTTCATTCATTCCAGACTGCCTGCTGACACTAAAACTCACTCTGCTACTGCATGCCTCCAGGCTTTCTCAGGTGCCCTTCTCTCTGTTTTGAATGCCATTCACGCCTTCCCCTTCCCCCTTGTTCATCTGGTGACCTCCTTCAACTCTAAGCTTCCTGTTCCTTCCATTCTAAGCTTTCCCCCAAATCCCCACACACTTCACAGAATTGGGCAAACCTCTCTAGACCACAGAATCTCATATTCGCCTAATTCATCATTCATCCCAAACCAGAAGGCTTTTCTGGTTGTCTTAGCCTTTCGTCCTGCATCCCATAAGTGGATCCAATTCTGCTGTGGGAAGTGATCTACGCGGCCAAGCACAAACCCCTACCCTGGGTAGCGGCGCTCACTCGACCACTATCCGGCGGGATCTTGCGATCTTGCGTTGGGGTCGGGGACACTTGCAGCTAAGCACCTGATCATAAGTCAGAGCCAGGCAAGGAAAAAAACAAAACAAAAAACGGTAAGAGAAAGATTGGGAGGGTCGATGATGTCACAACAGGTAGGAAATACTCGAGAACTGAGTTGCTTCGGCAGCCTCAGCGAACAAGAGGCCTTCTTTTCCAGCAACAGGTAGCTGCGGGGGGGGGGGGGGAGGGGGAAGTAGGGGGCGCGGAGCGCACGAGTGTCTTTAACCTCCTCCCTTCCCACAGCTGCCTTGACTTCTCGGCCTGGAGGCGGATCAACCGCATCCTCCCTCCTCTGGAGGCCGTAAATGGCCTTCTGGGGTCAGGGGCGTGGGGTACACGCGCTCCTTTTAAAGCTCCATTTGATCCGTGCAGCCTCCAGTCCAGTAAAGAGGGGACAAGGAGCCCGACCGAGCCTTCCCATCCCTTACTCTGCAGCTTTACCTGCTTTTTTTTTTTTTGTGGCGCCAGCCATGAGTACCTGGATAGCGCGAGAAGCCGGGTGGATTCTAGCAACCCAGCCGGCTAACAACCGCGCAACAAGGAGGCTGCCATTTTCCACCCCGCTACCGCAGGGCAACCTGGGAGCCATGGGTAGCTGCGCGCAGGCCCGGGCGGGTGAGACGCATGCGTTCTAGATGCCGCCGCAAGCCCTGGTGGCCTGGCGGGGTCTCTGCGCAGGCGCCGTAGCCCACAGCGACCGGGAGAGGTCGCTGCCGGCCCGTCTTGGAGCGAACCGTGCGTCAGTTTGGGAGTAGTTTGTGGAGATTTTTGAGCGGTGTGACAGATTGGGAAACTGAGGCTGGAGTGGGGAACAGTCCCTAACGACCCGTGGGGCTTTCACCGGTCCCTAGGGCGTGGAGTTCGTGCCTAGCTGCGGAAATCGGGGAAACTGAGGCTGAGAGAGGAGGCGGGTTCGTCCGGAACGGCGGTTCCCCGTGGGTGAAAAAAAATCAGTATGATGCCCTGTCTTTGTTATAAAGGCGAAACACGGGCAGTGAAAGCAATTTATAGTAAAAGAATATGCACCTCACTTTGTCAAAGCTGGAGCTGGATTACACCAATTGATGTTTGCCCCTAACGTAAAATGAGTAAGTTTGGACAAAGATAGTGTTCAGCTGAATTTTGCCCAGTTTGTATTTGACATCTCGAGACAAAGGCTAAATGTTTGTATACAAGTGTGGAATTAGTATGACAGCTACAGTGCAGGCACACGTGCGCGTGTCTTGGTGACTCACCTGTGGTGAGAACTGACACTGATTTTACAAAATGGTGAACAAAACAAAGTATAACCTCCCCCCCCCCCCATTAACCTGATATAAGCATTTCTGGATAACATACTGCATATTAAAACCAGGGAAAACTCACTATATTTTTTTAAGTTTTTATTTATCTTTGAGACAGCGAGTGGGGGAAGGGCAGAGAGAGAGGGAGTAAGAGACAGAATCCCAAGCAGGCTCTATGGTCAGCGCAGAGCCCGCCTTGGGGCTTGAACTCACGAACTGTGAGATCATGACCTGAGCCGGAGCAAGAATTGGTCACGTAACCGACTGAGCCCCCCAGGCGCCCCAAAACTCGTTGGATTTGTATATAAAATGGGTTACAAGCAGGCTTTTTGCCCACATGAAGGTTTGGGAGGACATTGGAAAATTGCTCAGGACGGAAGAGAGTGTGTTGTGAATCATTTTGCACCTTGCAAGAGGTCCAAGTCTCTGCCTGCTGGTCCTAAATGTTCGTAGTGTCCCCTCAGTCTTGCGACTCCCCAAAATCCCCACACAAGTTTCTCATCTGTTCCTGGAAAACCACTGAGTTATTCAAGTAACAATTTTTACCCCTGTGCACGTTTGCCATTGGTGTGGCGGGGAGGCGTAGTGTGGCGAACAGACACGTCCCCTGCCCTCGGGAGGTGGGGCCTGGTGTGAGAACATACCTAGGTGTTAATTGTGTAGAATGATGAATAGCCCAATGATAGAGGCAGCACAGGTCAGGGTTAGGATCACAAGGAGACCCAACCAACCAGCAGGTGGCCTGAAAAAGACCACCTAAGAAATAACGCTTGAGCTAAGCCTTCAAAGACCACCACATAGGGAAGGGACCAGGGACCACCAAGGAGAGGGACCAGGATGACTAAAACCGGCCCAGGGTCCCTGGCACTCCGTAGATACTCAAACGCCGTGAGTGGATAGACGGATGAGTGAATGAGACACAGCCCATTTGCTGGCTGGGAGCCATTCCCTGCTGTATCATAAACTGTTAAAAGGCAGGGGGAATAGCTGCTTCCTGCTTCTGCCCGGAGCCCACAACTGAGTTGGGACTCACAGAAGTGCCAGTGCTGAACGTCCCAGACACAAAGTGTTGTGTGGTCCTGGCCAGGAGGTGATTTCCAGGAAGGGGATCTCTGATTCTGCTCTGTTCCCCCAGTGGGTCTAAAGGGGTTCCGAGCCAGTCTCCTACTTCCCTGGGACAGTCCCTGCTCCTTTTGAGGTACCGTTTCTGCTCCAAAGTCTAGATGAGGGCAAGGATCTGGAGCTGCCTGCGTTCAGGAGCCAAGCCGGAAGTGTAAATTGCCGGCTGGGAACTTTGGGAAACAAGGAAGCACAGGCAGCCCCATGGAAGAGGCAGAGTCTGCAGCGCAGACTGGCTGTTGCCGTGATCTCTGCTCTTGCATTACGGACTATTTTGATTTTTTTTTTTCCAATACAAATTAGAAGCAGAGAATCTTATTGTCCCAGACTTTAAAATGTTGGCACTAATTCAAACTTGAAAACACAAAACACAAGACTGAGAGGTGAATGAAATATATTGGGGTTCCCTGGTCCTCACGTCCATCCTAGGGGAAGGTAGGTGTCCTCAGGACACAGTAAAGGGGTGCCTGGGGTGGTCACAGGGAACTGCGCAGGCTGTTCCAGGGGTGATGGGACTCTGGCCCTGCCCAGGTGCTGATCTTCTGGGCACCCCCCCGGAGTGGCCAACAGGGGCCAAGGTCATCCTCACTCGTCGCTCCTCCTTCTCCTTCTGCACCTGCTGCCTTGACTCCTCACGCACGTTCCTTCTAATCCACCATCAAATCCCTTCCCTCCCACATCCCAGTCCTAACCCTGTGCGGACCTCCATCACCTTCTCGCCTCTCCCCAGGCGCTACAACATCTTCCAGTGGGTCTTGCCCCCTCCCTGCTTATTCCACATGGCAGCCAGTAGGCCTTCCGCATAAGCCTGGGATGTCCTACCCCTACGTAAAGCCCCCTGCTGGCTCCCCACTGCTCTGCATATCTAGCCCACATTCCCTGAAGTGGCCCACATGGACTTCTGATTACGCCAGAGATTGGACTGGTGGCTCACAGGCCAGATGCAAACAGGCTTTATTTGACCTTGCAGAGTACTTCACACATTCAGTTTAGTAGCCTAAATGCAAAACTCAAGGCACAGCATGTAATGAAATCAGAGCTTTACAAGGAGAAGAGTGGATGCCCAGGCTAAGCTCAAGGATGGAAATGGGTGGTATACAGTAGGAGCTCAAATACGCAGAGGTGAAGAGGGATGTGGAGGGTGGGGGAAGGATTCTAAAGTACCCTGCTGCCTTTCTGTTGTAACTAGGACCCCACCTACTTTAACACTGGACTGGATTCTGTGAAACTGTGGGATGATGATGTGCACACCTAGGTATGCAGCAGGTACTCACTATGAACCTGCTGGATTGAACTTGGGTCCTGAGCAATCAGACCTCATAAGCCTGTCTGACCTTTGAAACATGACCGGGAGGGACTTGGCCCCTAGTCCTGCTCTTCCTGGCCAGTATGTCCTGAATGGTCCCCTGGGTCCTAGGTCTAAAGCCCAGAGTCAGTTGAAAGTGGTGGGATGGAATTTTGCAAGGGTGGAGATCATGGGCTTGGGAACAAAGCAGACTTGGGTTCAAACTCAGCTTCCCCATCTCTAAAATGCCTTCCTGATAACCTTTCTCATCCTGAGAGTCCTGAGTGGCACACATGGTTGGGAGGTAGATGTCCATGCTTCCTCTTAGCCCTCCCCACCCTCTGTGCCCTGTAGAGTGTTCCAAGGAGCAGCCATGTCCACTCTGTACCCATCTCTGGAGGACCTGAAGATGGACCAAGCCATTCAGGTAAGCCACCAAGCTCGTGTTAGCCTAGGCCCCCTGATGGGGCCTTTGTGACTGCCCCCAGATAAGTGAGGGAGGCTTGTCTTGGAAGGTGTTGTGCGTTGGGGGCCCCTGGACATGCAGGCCACCACTGTGGGGCCTGCTGGTGGACAGGTGTCCAGAGGTTAAGGGGATGGAGTTACAGCAGGAATGGAAAAGTCCTAGCAGCTGCAGACAGGTCAACCTTGTGCCGGCTCTGTCCCAGCGCTTCCACCATCTGGGTACAGTTAGACTCCATACTGTAGACAGGCTTCCAGAGGAAACCCCATGGGTCTGGCATTTTGCCTGTTCATCCCCAGAAGCTCCTCTTCTTCCCATCCACCTATGGTTCCAGTGGGTTTTGGGAGTTTGGGACTTCTCGATGGAGAATTTGGTTGGGTGGGGGCCTCAGGTAGTAAGGGGGTCCCGACATTTGGTGGGGCACAGGCTGCGGGGAGAACCTCCCCCAGAAACACGAACACCGGAGAGGCCACATTTACACACCTCCCAGGTTCACGGACACCCCAGCTTAGGCCCACCGGCATAACTAATGCCCCGGTCCTCAGCCTCAGGGAGCCCCAGGCCCCCGCTGACCACTGTTCCCCACCTATCCCCAGGCCCAGGCCAGAGCCGCGCCCAGGATGCCCACCCTGCCAGTCTCCCAGCCTTCAGGTGAGTGAGCGGGGCAGGGGTGCCCCTGACTGACAGTGACCTCTTGTGGCCACTTCCAGGTGCTTGCCTCTCGTCTGCCGCCATGCTGTGCGCTTCCTGCACATTTACTCCCACCAGAACCCTTTGAGGGGGACCCTTGGGAGGCCACTAACTCCCCGGATTTGGGGCTACCTTCTGTGGCCGAGTGAGGAGACCAAGATGTTTGTGGTGGCCCTTTGAGTTGGTGGTGCTGGTGATCCAGGTCCTGTAGCAGCTAAGTTGACTTCAGGCCCACTCTTTCCCTCCTGGCCACCGTGCATTTTCCCTGGAGCTGTCCTGGGCTCCCACTCTGCCTCCCGCAGTCCCCGCAGCCCGTGGACTTTCTAGGAGCCGGGGCGTCGTGGCCCCAGCACCAGCCCTGTGTCGGATGTCCGGTTAGTGCCAAAGGAAGTCCATTGAGTTGAACGGCAAGGTTCCATGAGGGGTTCTGTGTCCCAGGCTGCTCCTGGGGAGACCTGCCCCTCGGCCCTTCTCAGAGGAGACCCCACATCACCAGCGGGGGTTCCTGTGCATTCTTGGGAGTAAACAGCATCCCCAGGCCCTGTTTCTTAATACAGACGAGTGACCACGTGGGAGCCAGGGAGGTGTGGCCAAGGTCATGCCCTTGAGTAACCCCTTTCCTCTTCCTTCCCTTCCTTTCCCGTCAGTTTTGTACCCAAGCCTGGCAGAATTGGAAAATTATATGGGTCTTTCCCTCTCCAGCCAAGAAGTCCAGCAGAACCTGCTTCAGATTCCAGAAGGTGCTAGTGTAGGTATTTGTCCCTGGCCTAATGTGGGCATAGAATATCCCAACTCTCCCTCCTTCTTGGTCTTGCCATTCGAACCAACTGGAACCTCCTCTTCCCCAGCCTGCCTGCGGCTCTGTTGCTTGATAGCACTTTTCATTTTGAGTCTTCGTTCAAAGTGCTGTGGGGTTTCCCACACACCTGGGCACTGGGGGCCGCTGCCTGCCTTTTGACCTCTGGCTGCAGGCTGCTGGCCTCAGGCCGCTGGATGAGAAGGGAGGGCAGTAAACCCAGCCCACGCCTGCAGGCTTCGAATGAAGGAGCTGCCTGTGCCTTGAGAGCAGGTGCGAGGACGGCAGAGCCGAGGGGCGAGGAGCCAGTCACCCAGCTCTGGTCCCCAGATTAAAGTGTCATGCTTGCTTGATTCCTGCTCTCCGTGGCTTTAGGGGGCGAGAGAAATCATGACACAGAGATGTTCACTCCTGAAAATAGGTTCACTAAGAGGCTCAGTCCCCACTGAGTCCCCTCCCGCTGAGCTGCAGCATCTCTACGGGCCTTTGGCAGCGTGCTGGTCTGCCATCCGTCCCTGAGCTGGTGAAGGTCCGTGGCAGAGCCGTGATGGGCACTGCCGCAGCCACGCACACAGCCACTGGCGAATGAGGGCCCCACGGGGGAAAACGCATAAGGATAAGGGCGTGTGGGGCCCTGAGCAAAACTGGTGACGTCTGGGGTGTTCCCCCCAGTGACCCTAGACAGTCTGTGAAGGACAGACATGACGCGAGAAAAGTCATGTTACAGATACTTCCATTTTAAGCCTCTGATTTGATTCCTCTCTGTTCCAGTAATTAGGACATGAGTGTGTTTCTCCTAAATATTGATAAAAATATGACTGATGAATTCATTTTTATAATTAAACATTTTCTTAACTTTTTATTTTTAAATAGTCATAGATTCATGGGAAGTCACAAAGATAGGACAGAGAAGGGCACAGAAAATTGTACCCGTCATCGGGTTTTCCCAGCGGTCATGTGGGAAGTGGCTGCATAACTACAGGATGAGGAAAGGGAGCCTTTTGGGTGGGTACAGTGAGTGTCTGTAGTTGTGTGTCTCCATATCACCTGTCTAGACAGACTCACGTAAGTACCAGTGCAGCCAAGGCACAGACTGTTTCATCACCACAGCGCTGTCCCTCGGGCTGACCCTTCATAACCGTGCCCACCTTCTCCCCCCGACCATCCCTAATCCCTGGCCGCCACTAGTCTGGTTTCTGCCGCTCTGGTTTTGTTTCACAGAAATGGAATCCTTTCCAGATTGGCTTTTTCCAGTCAGCATAATGCCCTTGAAAATTTTCCAGGTTGTTGACTGTATTAATAGCTCATCCGACTTTATTTGTTTATTTGTTTTTAGTTATTTTAATTTTTTAAACATTTACTTATTTTTGAGAGACCAAGAGAGACAGAGCATGAGCAGGGGAGGGGCAGAGAGAGGAAGGGAGACACAGAATCTGAAGCAGGCTCCAGGCTCTGAGCTGTCAGCACAGAGCCCGACACGGGGCTTGAACCCATGAACTGTGAGATCATGACCTGAGCCGAAGTCGTACACTTAACCGACTGAGCCACCTAGGCGCCCCCTTTTTTTTTTTTTTTTTAATCTTTATTTATTTTGAGAGAGCGTGCAAGAGAGAGCATGTGTTTGGGTATGAGCAGAGGAGGGGCAGAGGGAAAGAGAGGCAGAGGGAGAATCCTAAGCTGGTTCTGAGTTGTCAGCACAGAGCCCCACATGGGGCTTGATGTCACAAATCTGTGAGATCATGACCTGAGCTGAAGTCAAGAGTCAGGTGCTTAACTGACTGAGCCACCCAGGTGCCCCTGTTTGTTTTCATTTCATTTTATTTCAGTTCTGGTGTAGTTAACTTACAGTGTAATATTAGTTTCAGGCATACAATATAGTGATTCAGCAGGTGCATACACATTACCCAGGGCTCATTGCAAGTGCACCCCTTCATCTCCATCATGTGCTTTCCCCGCTCCCCACCTCCCTCCCCTAGTTCGTCTCATTTTGTTGCTGAGTAGTATTCCACGGTGTGGAGGTACTGAGGTGTGTTTAACCCATTGAGGGTTCGTGGTTTCCAGTTTGGGGCTACTGCAAACTAAGTTATCCTGGGTACCTGAATACAGGTTTTTGTGCGGACATACATTTTCCTTTCTCTGGGATAAATGTCCGGGAGTGCGGTTGCTAGGCTGTGTGATAAGTGCACATTTAAATTTTTAAAAGAAACTTCCAAACTATCTCTAGAGTGACTGTGGCGGCCTGCCGGCACCACGTGCTACTCCAGTTTCCTCGCCTCCTCACCGGCATCGTGCCTGACTGTGGCTGTTAGGACAGGTGTGCGGTGATGTCACATCATGCTCTTAATTTGCATTTCCTGACAGCTTGTGATGTTTGCCTTCTTTTCACGTGCTGTTTACAAGCTGTAGATTCTTTCCGGTAAAATGCTCTTCGTGTGTTTTGTTCATTTTCTCAATGGTTGGTTGGTTGGTTTGTTAAGTCAAGTTCGGAGAGCGCTTTATTCTAGAGTCCTTTGTCAGATATGTCATTTGGAAGCATTTTCTCCCAAAGGTATTAGAAGAGCAAAAGTTTTTTGATTTTGATGACATTCAGTTTATGGATTTTTTTCCTTTGGTGGATCAGGCTTCTCTGGTCTATATAACTTTGAGTTAATTTTTGTATAAGGCATGTGACTGAGGTCAGGGTTCATATTTTTGCCTGTGGATGTTCAACTGCTCCCATGCCCTTTGTTGAAAAGACTATTTCCTCTCCACTGAACTACTCTGGCTCCCCTGTTGAAAAGCGTTTGGCTCTACTTGGGTGAAGCTACTTTTGGATTCTCTGTTCTGTTCCATTGACCCATGTGTCTGTCTCACCACCAGTACTAAACTGTAGCTAAGTAGTAAGTCTTGAAATTTGGTGGACTGATGCCTCTTGCTTTATTCTTTCTGTCAAAATATCTATAACTATTCTAGCTCCTTTGTCTTTTCATATAAAGTTTAGATTAACCTTGCCTATGTCTATAAAACATCTTGTAAAGATTTTGATAGAAATTGCCTTAAATCTTTATATCAATCTGGGGACAACTGACAGCTTTGCTATGTTCTAATCCATGAATAGAAACTACCTTTCCATTTATTTAGATCTTCTTTGACATGTTTTATCAGTTATTTCTTGGTTTTTGTTTTCGGTATAAAATTCCTATATATGTTTTGTTGGATCTGCTCCTGTTTTTTATTTTTGAGTGATTGTAGTTGGTATTTGTACTTTTTCAAAAGTTTTATTTATTTATTTTGGGAAAGACAGAGACAACATGAGTGTGGGTGGGTCAGAGAGAGAGAGAGGGAGAGAGAGAATCCGACAGTGTAGAGCCCGATATGGGGCTCGAACTCACGAAACCGTGAGATCACGACCTAAGCCAAAACCAACAGTCAGATGCTCAACCGACTGAGCCACCCAGGGCGCCCTGGTATTGTACTTTTAATTTGAGTTTCCATGCGTTCGCTGTTAGTATATAAAAAGTATAGTTGATTTTTGTGTGTGAATCTCATATCTTGTGACCTTTCTGAACTCACTGATGAGTTCTAGGAGCTTATTTGTAGATTCCTGGGAATTTCCTAGTAGACCATCATATCATTTGCAAATAGGGACCATTTTATGTCTTTTCCAATGTGTATGCCTTCATTCCCTCTTCTTGCCTTATTCTTCTGGCTAGTTGTTCCAGTGCTGTATTTAACAGTAGTGGCGGGAGCAGACAGCCTGCCTTGTTCTGGGCCTTAGGGGGAAAGCACTCATTCATTTTTATACTTTTTGCTTAAGTTTTTTTTTTTTTTAAGACAGGAATTGAGCCCTTTTTCCCCTGATAGCTCACTATTTGCTGTGAAATTTTCTTTTATTTTTAGGTCGGTTCTCCTGATGCCAATGTACCTTGCAAAATGAGGGTCCCTTTTCTATATGTTCATCCTCTCTCTCTCCTCATTTTCCTGGCTGGTTTTCAGTGGTGTAGACTTTGATGCCCTCTAGTGGCTTCATGGAGCCATGTCCCCTAGCGCTCCCCGCCCCCCCCCCCCCCCCCCCCCCCCCCCCCCCCCCCGAGTGTGGTCTGGGGATAGGATGGGGCCTAGGGACGGACCACTGAATCTTCCTTTCCCCATCCTTATGAGGCCCCAGGGGCCAGCTGACCCCACCCTGGTGTGTGCAGATGGCAGGCTGTGGCCCCCTGCCAGGCCAGCTCGTGGCACCAGTGACTGGGAACAGCCAGGGTACACGGCGTGCAGAGATCAAGCCTGGCATACGTGAGATCCACCTGTGCAAGGATGAGCGTGGCAAGACGGGCCTGAGGCTAAAGGCCATCGACCAGGTAGGGCCGGGGGCCGGGCAGGAGCGAAGGGGGCATCTCCGAATGCGTTACCCAGCTGCCCACCAGCCCGGGATGGGGCAGCAAGGGGCCCCGTCCACAGGAAGGAAGGGACAGAGCAGGCAGGGGTGCCGAGGCGCACCCCGCCCCAAGCCCAGGCTCTTCCTCTCAGTCTCCATCTCAGTCTCCATCCTTGTGGGCTGAGAGTGGGTTCCAGCAGTGGGGACCCTCCACCCACCCCTCCTGGGCTCTGGCCTCCCTTCCCCCTTCCCTCCCCTCCATCACAGGGACATCCCTCCCTCCTTCCCCTCCCCTCCAGCACAGGGACCTGGCCTCCAGGAAGCTGTCTGGAGGTTATCATAAGAGGCTGTGAGACCCAGGGGTTGGGGGTGCAGCCTCCAGCCAGGGTTGAAAGCCTGACTCCGTAGCTCCCTGGCTATGTGGCCTGGAGTGTTTCCTCCCCAGGAAAACAGTTCCCAGGAAAGTGCTGCCCCGCCCACGTAGAGCCTATAGTCCCAGGCCATGTTGCTCAGAGGCGGTCAAGGGAGAAGGGCCGCGGGAGGGCCCCGGGCACAGAGTGGGCCGGGAGCTGACTGTGGAGCGCCGCGTCCCCCAGGGGCTCTTTGTGCAGCTGGTGAAGGCCAACAGCCCCGCGTCTCTGGTGGGCCTGCGCTTTGGAGATCAGATCCTGCAGATTGACGGGTGTGACTGTGCCGGGTGGGGCACGGACAGAGCCCACCGGGTGCTGAAGAGGGCGTCGGCGGAGAAGATCGTCATGGTCGTTCGGGACAGGTGAGCAGCCAGGCCCCCCGAGCCTCGGTGTCTGCCCCCAGCCGCGTCCCAGGCCCAGCTCACTGTCTCTGCCTGCCAGGCCCTTCCAGCGGACCGTCACTATGCACAAGGACAGCATGGGCCACATTGGATTTGTCATCAAGAAGGGAAGGGTCATCTCTGTGGTCAAAGGGAGCTCTGCAGCCCGCAACGGGCTCCTCACCAACCACTCCGTGTGCGAGGTGAACGGGCAGAACGTCATCGGGCTAAAGGTAGGCCTACACAGACCTGAGGGGCCTAGAGGGCGCTGGGTGGAGGGCACGCTTGTGTCTGTGGGCAGGCGGCTGCCCCCATCCGAGCCTCAGTTTCCTTGTCCTCAGGTTGCTGTGAGGATTCAGTAAGACAAGGTGGGTGGAGCTCCGAGCACAGTGCCAGGCACGTGCTAGGTGTTTGATAAATATTCCTGTTGTCACTACCACATGGAGGCAGCAGAGAGGCAGAAGGAGGGGCGTGAGGGTGTGTGTCAGGACAGGGCGCCCGGCGGGGGCTGTTTGCACAGCTGCCTCCCTCCTTGGCACTTCTGCTCGCACACTGGCTCACACCCAGTAATGGGAATACTGTAGAATTCCCATTTTAAACTTACTCTAAACAGGAATAATTTAGACGCTCAGAAATGCACGCTGACCTCTGTTCATCTTTTGAAGGTGTGTATGTGATGAGTTTTATCTTTAAAAAGCAAGGAGGGCACCTGGGTGCCTCAGTCAGTTAAGCATCTGACTCTTGATTTCGGTTCAGGTCACGATCTCATGGTTTGTGGGATTGGGCTCCGCACTGGCAGCATGGAGCCTGCTTGGGATGCTCTCTCTCTCTCTCTCTCTCTCTCTCTCTCTCTCAAAACAAACAAAAACCTTTAAAAAGCAAGGAGGAGCAAGGGGTCTGTGGCCTAGTGGACACAGACCGAGGGGCGGGCGCCTTCAGGGAGCAGACCAGAGGATGGTGACTCAGGTGGCTTCAGCAGGTCCCCTTGAATAGTGGTTGGATCTTGACTCGCTGCACCTGGGCCCAGAGCACTTCTGTTGAGGTGGTGATCTAGAGTGAGGGTCCTGACCCTCCCCTTGGCCAGGGCTCCAACCCCACCCCCACTGGCAGAAGTGGCCTGGGCTTCTCACTCCACAGCAGGCACAAGCTTTTCAGCCAGTTCCTTGGCCCCTGTCAAGGGCCATCACCAGGCCATTCTGTCCCATATGTGCTTCCCATGCTTGACAGTCTCTCCCCCTTCTTTAGAGGCTTGCTCTTGTGGCTCATGAGCACGAAGTTCTTTCTGATGTGGGTCTAAGATCCCTCCCACTGCATATGTCCTCTCCCTTAGGGGTTGGGTCTGGCCATCTTCAGGGAGCCCCTTATGTCCCCAAAATTGACTACGCTAGTACGGATTGTGAGTGGCCATGACTCCTGGGTCCTAGAGAATCCACCCCTTCCTAGGCATTACAGTTCTTCGATCTTCACTGTTCTGGAGAGCAGGCAGTCTAAAATGTGCGGCAGATTCTCTCTTCCTCGCAGGAGGCTCAAGGCATTGTGATGAACTCGCTAATTATCCCGGCAAACCGTGGTCCTGCTTGGCTCTGAGGACTGGGTCTGTCCCTTTGCCGAATGGCCCCAGGTAGCTCTGCTTTTTGAGATGGTTTGCTTCTCAAAGCTGATCTGTTTCCACCCTGTGGCCATCGCCAGTCCGATCACGCACGGCTTCTCCACTTGTCCTGCGACAACTAAGCGCACAGCCAGGTTAGACGTGTGTGACAGGTCAGCGGTCTCGGAATAACGGCCGAAGCTCTGCTGTGGCCGTGGTTTTAGAGTTTGATCTGTCTGGCCCACGTGCATGGAGGCGTGTCCTTTCTTGTCCTCCCCGTGGTCTGAATGGTATCCACAGGCCTTTCTCTTTTTACTGGTCAACAAGACGTAAGAGGAAGAGGTCCCGTGAGGGCTCAGCTGGCTGGCCCCCAGGAGGCCAGTGGGTGGATGGGTGCAGCTGGTGGCCCCCACGCAGGGTGATTATCCTTATGCTTTGGGGCCAGAGCCTGAGTCTAACTGAGGCAGGGAGATGGGCTAGAAAGTGTGGGCTCTGGGAGCTCTCTGGTGGAAGGGGAGGAGAGGAGTGCTGACACCCACAGGACTGGACTGAAGGGTGAGGGTGGGGAGGGGTGCGCTCACTTTCACGCAGAGACCCTCAGGTGCAGGGCTTGTGTTCTTGCTCAAGCAAGGCCTAGCCTTGCCTAGTGGCAGCGGGTCCCCTGCCTGGGGCCATGCTGACCCCTCCTCTGCAGAGGTGCCCCTGGCCCTGGGGTGACTGCTCACTCACCTCCTCCCCAGGACAAAGACGTCACAGAGATTCTGGCAACAGCCGGGAACGTTGTCACCTTGACCATCATCCCTACCATGATCTACCAGCACATGGTCAAAAAGTAAGGCCGCCCCCTCCTACCTCCCCCTCCCGCCTCCCCCTCCTGCCCCCTCCCCGCCCACAGCCACGCCAGCCTCCTCAGGGCTAGCAGCCTGCCCTCCCTTCCAGGGGGCTGGTGGCATCTGGTGACTTGAAAGTCTTAGAAATGGAAATGAAGGACAGCTAGTGGGGAGGAGGAGAGGTGCTGCCAGTTTGGGCGACTGTCCTTGTTGCGTCTCTAGGTTGTCCCCAGTCCTGCTCCACCACGCCATGGACCACTCGATCCCAGATGCCTGAAGCCAGCAGGGGGCGGTGGGGGGGGCAGCTCAGCCCTCCCACCCGCCTTCGGGAGAGCAGCGTCCGCCCGCCTGGGACAGGTTCCAGGGACCTGCTGTGGGGGGCGGGGCAGTCTGGAGGGGGCGTGTCTCAGGTGGGGCAACACGGGTCACGTGGGGCTGTCATTTACACACTGGCTTCCGGGGCACCTCCAGGACTGGGAACTGGCCTGAGGCCCAGACACTAGGGTTCTTAGTGCCGGTGTAGATGCTGGCCACGTAGGCAGGCCGGCCAAACGCTTCTTAAAGTTGCAGCGGGGCCCCTGCAAGATTTTTGCCTCTACCAGAAAAACGGTTCCATGTTTTGAGAGAACAGAACCACGTTCTTTGAGAGGACTTTTTCTTTCTTCTTTGCTTGCTGTTAGGTCACAACTGTACATAGTTATAATCCTTCGCTTCTTTCGAATAAAGATTTGATTTTTAAATAAAAGCCCTTCAAAAGTACTTGAACGTTCCGGGCCTGGTTTTCTCCTGAGCAGCGGTGAGGCCGCGGTCTTGTCAGACACACGGCCTCTGAGAGTCTGGCACCCTCACCTCTGGCACTGGCACCTTCGAGGCAGGGGGGACTGGAACCCGGGACACAGGGCTCTGGAGGAGCGGCACCCCTGCTCGGCCTGTGTCTGAGATCCGCAGACAGTATGTAAGATCCACATTCAGGTATGGGATCCACTCCGGGGGGCCGCAGGGGAGGGGATGGGGTACACATCCCTTTACAAGCAAGTCTAACCCTGAAGGGGCTGGGAGATGCCTACCTGGATCCTTCATCTGACCCAGGAGGGGAGTGACCCCACGCAGCTGTCTGCTCCCCTCGACCTCAGAAAGGATCTCTTTCTGCTCAGCTTTGCCCAGTGTGCACCCTGGGACTCCAGGGTGGGTAGGGTCTGTTTGAGCCCCCTTCACCCCTCCTCAGAAAACAGACACGATATAAAGAAAACAGGCCGAGGGTCTTGCTGCGTTTTCATGCTTTAATTCAGAGCTGTCTGCTGCAGGTACAACTCTGTCTGAACAGGACACAGGAGACAAAGTGAAGACCCTCCCCACCTCCCCCCTTCCCATATCCCCTAAATTCTCTGTTGAGGGGATGGCCGAATGGGAGAGTACACTGTGACACATTTGCACTGTCCCCCTAGGTCAGAATGGGGGGGTCACGAGTTCCCTGGGCTCAGGCCCTCGGTCGGCCCTGGTCCCAGAACTCCGTCACTGCCTGCCCCTCCCCAGGGCGCTGGCAGTCAGTTCCCTGGTGCTAGTGGCCACTGGGAAGGGTGTTCAGTGAAGAGCTAAGTTATCCCCTTGGGAGATGCTCAGCCTACACTCCGCTGGAGGCCAGCTCTCTGTGCAGAGTCCCAGCCCCAGCTCTGATTCCTGCCTGGGCTTGGGCCAAAAGAGCAGCAGGAGGCCTAGGCCGGGCCCCCAACTAAGCAGAAGTCACTTCAGGCTTCTGGGCTCTAAGGGGCTCTTAGCTCCAGCTGGAGAGAGGGGAGGCCCCAACCCTTTCTGCTCCAGAGCCAAGGTTAGGAGGGGAAGGCCACAGCCCAGCAGGAGGAGGTATTAAGCAAGAAGGAAAAGGGGAGCTTTGGAGGAGGAGCACTGTGCAGGTGGCCGGGGCCCCTGGCCTCACCCTCCCGCCTCACACTCTGTGCCCTGCGTCACCAGGGCCAGGAGCCCGAGCTGGCAGGCCGCCGAGCCTCCAGCGCCTGGAGCCGCACACGCGGCGCTGTCCCTTTTGCATAGATGCAGACACTGAGCACACACACGCGCACACGAAGGGCCAGGCCCGGGGCTGCCAGCCAGGGAGCCCCAGGGTCCATCCCAGGCCAGCGCAGGGCTGCCACCTCTGCTGACACAAGGAAGAAGTAAATCCCGTCAAAGGCCCCAAAAGAGAAGACCCTAAACGCTGTGAGTTGGGGCCCTGCAACCTGGAGCAGGAACGGACATGGCAGCGGCCCCTCTCACCTCATGTGCTGCCCTTGGTGAGGGCCTTCTCTGGCAGCACGGCACGGGCTCCAGCCCCAGCCCGGACCACATCCACCAAAACACAAGACACGACAGGAAGGCCACAGATAGCAAGACACAGACAAGAGCAGAGGGGCTACGCAGCTTGACTAGATTCCAGTGGTGAAAAATATATAGATTTTATGTTGTCAAATATAGTCATACATTTATTTTCTCGGCAAAGCTTTGACTATTTCTAAGGAGACACTACGCAGCTTTGTGAGTACACGGCACAGGAGGCTGGGTCCACGGCCAGTCCCGGCTTGGCTTTGGAATGGGTTTGTCCACGGCCCTTCCATGTCACGACCCCAGTGTCTGTGGGGCAGCCCCAGCCGGGCCCCAGGAGTTCGGGTGCGGCTTGGCTGGGGTGAGGGTGCTCCACATTGGATGGCTGGTCTGAGGCCCCAACCGGCGGGGGGAGCTTTGGAGGCACAAAGCATGTGGCGGAGGGGGCTGTTGCCCCCATGGCTGGGCTGGATGCCCATGTCCAGTGCATGCAGGTGCCCCCCTGGAGAGGAGGGCGCAGAGAGGAAAGGTGGAGCCCCTAAGTCAGGCAGCAGCTGTCAGAGTGGCAGGGGTGGGCAAGCAGCCTTGGCAGAGAACCAGAGTGGCCCCTGGGCCGGAGGGGCAAGTAAGACACAGGGTCCTTCCCCCCAAATGTGGGGCCCAACCTCTGAAGGAGGGGTGACCAGTAAACCCCACAATGGAGAAGGAGCAGGTTTACTTCATAAAATAACAGTGGTGGTAACAGGTCAGCAGCTTTGCTGGGGGACCAGATGTGGTCCCAGGGAAGCAGGGGCGGTGAAGCTCCCAGGCCACCTGGCCTCAGGCTGCAAGTGGGGAGGCTCAGGGCACCCCCAGCTGCCCTAACCCATCCCTGCCTGGGAGACAGACATCCCAGGGCACCCTGCTTCAGCCTGGACGAACATCATGGCTTCAGTATCCCATCTGGCCAGTCTTACTGCTGGAATTCTTTCCAGAGGCAGCTAGGTCTGAGTTCAAGAATCCTCACCCTAGAAGGCCAGCAGCCCCTCAGTGGAGAGGCTGGGGTGCGTGAGAACCAAGCCCAAAGTGAACATAGTGCAAAGCAGAAGGTGAGCCAGCAGCCCTCGGAGGGAGCTGGGGTGAGTTCCAGGGGACAGTCACAGCCTCTGGCTTCTCAAACCAGCTGAGGACTGCCCCCCCCAGAAGGCAGGGCCCTGTCTCAGAAGGCCAGAGGAGCTGCCCCACCCCCCCCACCTGGAGCTGCCGGCCCCTGCCTCCTCCACTTGTGCACGTGAGGGCGGGGGGCTGGGGCTCCAGTACCCACGCCGACCCTGGTGCTAGCCGCTGTCACGGGAGGAATGATCTGACGTGGCCAAAAGCGCCGAGAGGGAAAGACACCCTGGGGAAGGTCTAGGACGAACAGACACGGAGAACCCACGCTGTGCTCTGCCACCTCTTGCCCACCACGGCCTTTCCTCTGGCCCATGGCCTGGATGATGCTTCGAGTCCCGGTGTGGGGAGCAGCCTGCAGATGCTGGGATCACAGCCAGGAGCTGGTGGCTGCAGACCCTGCTCAGAGTCCTGGGCCAGTTGCCTGTACTCTGGGAGGCAGCCACCTCCATGCGAGGAGATGATGCTGGCCCAGGAGGCTGGACCGAGGGCAAGGGGTGGCCTGAGACAGAAGGCGTGGGCTGGAGGCCACCAGACAGGACGTAGGGGTGGGGGCATGGAGGCTCCCGGAGTCTCCGGGCCCAGCCTCTCCAGATCAACACACCAGAGACACTGTGGGCCAGGGCTGCCCTGTGGGAGGGTCCAGGAGAACAGGGCCAGGCTGGTGGGGGGTGACCTTGCCACCTCCTCTCCCTGCCATTTGTCCAATCGGTTGTGCCTCCCTGCCTTCGGTCTCTCTTCCCTTGTCTCCCGTCCATGTTTTGGGACGCCTTCCCCCAACCCTGACTCCCAGCCCCCTGACATGGTTCACATCCTAAAAAAAAACAAAAACACGTCCAAACCCAAGACTAAATAAATAAGACGCTGCCCTCCGGGAATGGGCCAGAGGGAGAGCAGCACCCCTACAATCCGTGGTCGGGCCGCCAGAGCCACTGGCTGGGCTGCCGGCCCCTCAGAGCTGGGAGCTGCCACCCGGCCCGCCGGCTGGGCCCTGCTGGCTCAGCGAGCGGCAGCTGATCCTGCGGATGGAGTGCAAGGCCACCGTGCAGCAGCCCCGCAGCAGGGAGCTGATGTTGTAAATGGGCTGGCCCTGGCGTCGCTGTGAGCGGCACAGCCAGGCCACTGTGGGCACAGCGGGCACCACCACGGCCAGCAGATCCACGATGTAGTGGCGGCTCCAGTAGCTCTTGGGCTCCTTCTCGGCCGTAGCCACCTCTTCCTCCTCTTCCATGGGGCACGCCACACTCACCGACGGGCTGGGGTTGGCGCCGGGCCGGTGCGGGCTTGGCCCGCAGGTGATGGGCTCCGGGGCCTCGGGCTCGTCACCCACCGTCACCACCACCGCCGAGGTGGGGTCTTTGGGCCCCGGGGGGCGGGGCTCCGGCTCTGGGCACCTGCCCCCTGGCTCGGGGACTGCCCCGCAGGCCTGGGCCCGGGTTACTTTCTCCAGGATGGCGTCCAGGTCGGGCTGGTAGTGCACGAAGTCTGTCTGGATGGCACGCTCCTGCACGCAGCTGACCTGCACGCCGGCCTCCGTGCCGCACAGGAGCTTCTCGTAGGTGTTGCTGGCGGGGAAGCGGGGGCCTAGGCCGAAGCCGCCGAGCAGCGAGCCCTCCTCGGGGCCGCAGTCCACGCCCGACGACAGCAGGCTGCTGGCCTCCAGCGCGTCCGTCCGGCTCAGCGTGTCGTCGGTTGTCACGAAGCCGCTGTCAGCCCCGTCCTCGGTGGAGGCCCCGGGATGCTCACCGGGTGGGCGGTCCCCGCACACAGCCGGGTCACTCAGCTTGGTGTAGGTGGAGCTGCGGGTGAGGGAGCGGGCGGGGGACCCGCCAGCTGACTCACCAGTGCCGTCCTCCTTGGCCAGGCCATTCTGGGCCACCTCCATGCTGTGCAGCAGCGTCTCCAGCTTCTTGTTCTGGATGTTGATGTCCACAAAGTACTTCTGCAGCCCCTTGTCCTTGTCGATGAGGTTGTTCTTGACCGTGTCGATGACCTGCTTGAGCTGCTTGATCTCCTTGCGGGCCTCCTTCAAGGCCAGCTGGGCCTCCACGCGGTGGCACTCCTCCTCGATCCAGTCCTCCTGCATGCGCGACAGCTGCGTCTTCAGGTCATCAATCTCCGTGTCCCTGTGAGCGGAGGAGACACACATGCTCACTGCCTGGCCTGTCACCACCACCAAGGGAGGCAGGGAAGGGCTATCACCAAGCACAGAAGGGCTGTGCCCTCCAGCCCAGAGCTGAACACACAAGGCGTGACCCAGTGCCTCCTCCTCACTCCATGGGGGGTAAGGGGGCGGCCAAGGGGCGCCTCCTCCCGGGGGAGAAGCCATGTCCAGGCCCTTCTGCATCCCCGGCCCTGGCGGCCAAAATGCAGACGACTGTCCCCATTTAAATCCATGACCTACAGAAAAGATTAGACAAGGAAGATGCTCAGCATATAAATCAATGTTACTATAAAACCCAGACACATCCACTTTAAACTCTTAACACGAGGCAATAAAAACTAAACCTAAAATCTCCACTCTAGGGAAAGGAACGTGGCCTCCTACGAAATCCGGTGGTGAAAACCGGCCATGGCGGGGGATGCAGGGGACAGGCCGTGGGCTGCTTTGCTTTGCTGAGGAATGTTCCAGCCGCCACGCTGGGGGAGACTGCTGATTTCACACCTTCCCTTAAGCAGGTGGGGGGGGGGGGATGAAGAGTGGTGGGTGGAGCAGAAAAAAATGATGACAACAGATGGCTCTCTTTCAAATGCACTTAACTTCTCTGCTTTGTATCTACGGTGAAGGGGGGTCAGCCTAAAAGATGGACAAAACAGTACAGGCCACTCCCAAGAGAAGAGGCCACGTGCCAGGCAAGCCTGATGCAGGCGTTTTAAATCCCCCGAGTTACAGACGAGTCCAGGGTGTGGGGGAGGGAGGTGAGGTAGATAAACAGCCTATCAAGTCTGGAGGGAAAGGCAGCGTGAGATGGGACAGGATGCAGTGAATGCAATGAGGACGGAGGAAAGCCACTCTGGAGATGGCATGTCCTGCCGGGGAATGCCCACCCCAGCACCCCATGCCCAGCCATGCAGCCCATGTGCCCCGAATTCACAGAAATGCAATCCACACATGGCTAGACCATTGCCCTGAGGGTTAGGAGTCCAGCAGAGAGATCATCCTACATCAAGCACCATGTGCTTTTCAGAGTCAGATGGAATGTTCAGTTCAGGACATGAGGCCAGGACTCACGCTCTGCAGTATGTCACAGGGACTGTGAAGGTGGCCGCGGTGGCCATGAAGGTCAGCAACGGCATTATCTGGAGAGGGATGGGCTGGATCACTCAACGGGACACCACTCCATGATGGTGGTGGGGAGCCGGAGCTGCTCAGAGCGGCAATGACAGATGTACCAGCAGGCACGGGGGACCCTCAGTCTAGGAAACCCTCTGTCCTGACGCTGAGCCCTAGGAGGGAGTGTGAGCTCGGGGGAAGGGGCTGGGCATGCTCAGTGTGGCCGGGCCCTGCCCCTCTCCCCTTGGAGCCAGCAGGACCCCAGGCCAGGGAGCTGTGGTCTCCCCACCCCGTCTAGGACGTTACATTTGAACCAAGCCTTGAAAGACGAATTTGCCAAGGAAGCAAGATGGCAGCAAGGCCGTCTCAGGAAGTGGGGAAAGAGCAAACAAAAGCACAGAGTCTAGAAGCTCTTCTTTAAGGGGAAGGGAGGTGACTGCAGGAGACAGGTATCTATCAAAGTGAACGCATGGAGAGCATGCCGCATGTCTGCAGAGCAAAGAGCTGCCACGGGTTTCCGTAAGAGCAGCCAGGGATTTGAGGTGTTGGCACGTCCATGCCAGGGCATCGTGCCCAAACCACGCAGGGTGGACGGTCTGCTCCAGCCGCCGGGCCAGCCCCAGAAAGGAAGTGGGGAGATGGGCTGTCTGCTTCCTGAGGACGTTAGTGCAAATGGCCAGGCAGACCCCGGGCACCACTGAGGAGACGATGGGATCTAAAAATAGAAATCTCAACTCTCCAGACAGGGTGGCCCACAGAATGCCACCTGTAACTTCCTGTGGGTCAAAACCACAACAGGTCCAGACCGGACTGGCTGCTTGGCAGAGCTCTGGCCACAGAAGGCAGGCTCCTGCATAGCGGATGGTTCGCTTTCGATTGCCAAGTCCAGGACAGACAGATCCGAAAAGACAGAAAAGACTAGTGGCAACCGGGGGCCTGGGCCATGGCCACTGCTGGGAATGGCATTTGTTTCTGGGGTGATGGGAATATTCTGGAATTAGATATTAGTGAGGGTTGCGTGATTCTGTGACCATACTAACAATCACTGAATTGTACACTTTAGAGGGGCAAACTATCGTTTTTTAAAGAGAGGAAGGACACCATGATCAGGGTGGCCTGCCCTGGCCCTCAGCTCCCGGCGGCTGCGTGTTTGAACCGACACAGCGCAGAGATGCTTAAGATGATGAGGGATCCAAGGGCTGCTCTGAAGCATCAAACATAAAGACGTGGCTGCAGCCCAGAGAGGAAGCAGCTGAGAGGGTAGGAGTCTGCCCTCAGGTCTGGAGAACAAGCTTGGATGGAACCGTGGGGGGTTCCGGGGGGACCCCCGGGCTGGGTAGGAGCTTGAGAAACGTTTCTCAGGATCTCACATCATCCATAAGTAGATGCACAGAAAGGCTTCTGGGGCCTGAACGGGTGGGCTGAGAGCCCCCACCCCCACCCCGTTACTCCCTGGGGGCAAACAAACTGGGGCTGAGGGGGTGTTCCCAGCCCCCAGTCCCTCCCCCAGGGAAGGGGAGCCAGCGCCCCTGTGCCCCTGCTCCCAGGTGGAAAGGAGCCGGGGGATAGGAAGTGGTTAAACAGGGCTGCCAGGCCCAAAGTGGGAGAGCACCACCTTGGGGTGTGGGGAGGACTGGCTGGCTGTCAGGGGAAGCTGCCTACAGTCAGGGAGAGCAGCTGAGGGGAGCACAGAGGCGCCTGGGGGCTCTGGGAAGGGGCTTCTTGGATAAGACAGGGCGGCCCGGGTGCCGGGAAGCCCTCAGCCACTCCTTCCTCCCAGAAGTGCCCCAGGACCCTAGGTCTCTGGCTCAGTGCGTCTCCAGGGCTGCCCCGCCTCCTCCAAGCCCCTCGCCAGCGGCTCACCGGTCCTGGAGCCGGTCCTGCGTGTCCTTCAGCCGCGCCTTCAGGTGCCGGATGCACACCTCCTTCTGCTGCAGCGGGGTCAGGTACTGCTCCGGGGTGGGGGGCTTGACGCCATGGTTGTCGCTGCACAGCGTGTACTTCATGGAGCGCCTGCACAGGGACACGTGTCAGCGCGGAGGGAGGAAGAGGTCCCCAACCATCACCAGACAGTCCCAGGCCAGGATTCCCCCCACCCCCCAGAAGCCTGTGTGACCACCAGAACACCCAGACCTTCTGGAAGGCGGGTTTTGTGAAAGCTCTTCTGAGGGCGCAGCGGGGGCTCGGTCGGGTTAAGCATCCGACTTCTGCTCAGGTCATGATCTTGCAGTCGGCAAGTTCGAGACCTGCGTCAGGCTCTGTGCTGAGAGCTTGGAGCCTGGAGCCTGCTTCAGATCCCGTGTCTCTCTCTCTCTCTGCTCCTCCCCCACCCACGCCCTGTGTCTCAAAAATGAATAAACGTTACAAAAATTAAAAAAAGAACAAAAGCTCTTCTGAGCGGAGACCACAGTGGGGAGCTCAGGGCTCCTCTGGTTGGGGTAGGGACACATGACAGAGTGCACACACATCCTGGCACCGTGTTCCATGCTCTCCTGATGCTATTGGTCAACTTATTCCCAGTGGTGATCCCAGAACTCCTGCGTCTGGTCTCCTAACCCAGAGTGCGAGTTTGGGGGCCAGAGGCTGGCGGGGTCCCCCTCCCTGTGTAATTCTCCCAGGGCCTGCATGGAGGCACGGACACCCCCCAGAGCCGAGAGCCTTCACTGCCTGGCCCGCAGGACTGTGGGGGACACAGGGTGCGGACACGTGTGCGGGCACGGCCGTCTCCAAACACACTCTGACACCCTGCTTGCCATCCTCACGGACTCGCAGGTTTGCACGGCCACACACACGCACTTCCCCGGAGTGCACAGCTGAGTACAATCACCCCGCCCCGGCTGTGTCTGCATGCCCATCTTCACGTGTGCACGCCCGTGCCTGTACGTGCAGCCACCCCCAGGGGCCACTCACATGTATGAGGACACCAGCCCACACACGGGTTCACGCAGACGCACACGGACCCTTCCCACCCCGCGTACACACGTGCGTGCTCCGAGGGCACACGCAAACGCGCGTGTGAACACCCACCAGCTCTGGGCATCTATGCGTTAACAGCTGTACCCTGAGGTGGCAGTACGCCGGGTGCCACATGTGTCCCAGCCTGGGGTGGCACAGATGTGCGTGTCTGCGTGCATGCACACGTGTGCATGCGTGTGCACGCGTGTGTGCGGTGAGCGTGCCTTGGTCTCAGTTCTGCAAAGGTGGAGGAATTCCCCACTCAGTGGAGGATGGAGGGCCAAGGCAGGAAGCACCCGGCAGGGAGCACCGACTTCACTGACGGCTCAGCCGCCTCCACTCAGCTCTGGTTGTTCTGTTCACAAGGAAAGCTCCTTGGGTCTTGGCTTCAAAGCCCGGGCACGGTCTCACACAGCCTGGCAGAGGCCCTGTGGCCCTCCCGCTCTGCTCCTTTAGGGGCTGGGGACCCCCCTGGGTCTGGGGAGGGGCAATGACATTGCCGGGTCTGAACGGGACAGGCTGAGGGAGTCTGAAAGGCTCTGTGGGAGCCGGCTATGGAGGACACAGTGTTTACGGAGGAAACAGTGTCTGCAAACGGCCACCCATCCAAGAGAACGCGTGGACAGTGGTGGAGAGAATGGGCAACGATTCTCCTGTACTTACTCACCTCACGGTCCCTAGGTTTAACTCAAGTCATATCATGTGCTGGCCTGTTTTCCGTGTGACAAGGGGCAGAGGGGTGGCGTGGGTCAGGGGCCTGGGATGCCCCCTGTGTGGGCTCTAAGAATCTCCTTCCAAAAGAGAAGCCAGCCGACGGGGGCCGGAGCCCCACACTGCGGACATCCTGGCAGCTGCCATGCAGGGACCCCAGCTCAAGGGACACTGGTCTGTGCTGAGTGACAAGGGCTTCTCCCTGGGCCCCCTGGGGCAGGGTGGCGGGGGGTGGGGGGGAGTGGCAGCCAAACCAGGATCAGTTAAACTAGTACAGTTGAGAATGACAGAAGAAGTAGCCATTCTCGCGCTTCCCATGTGCTTTCATGAGTGGGTTTCCTCTAATATAACATTTAACACTCATACATTTTTAGTCACTAGCTCTATCTTTGCAGGGAAAAAAAAAATATATATTTAAAACTGAGAAGAAGAACATACCATAATTCGTGGCTCTCCGCTATTCATTCACGCCCTGCAATTCCTGCCTGTTTGCACCGAGGCCACAGCTGTGGCCCCGCTGCTCACCCACAGCTCACGCAACCCAGGTGGGCAAGGAGACCCTCTCCCGGGAATTCTCAGCCTTGGACTGGGGCCGTCCCCGTGCACTGCACTTATGACATGCATCGCAAAACTCTGCTCCGGAGAAGCACTAAAGTTGCCGATTATATTTTCAAAGCGTAAGTGAACACATCAGTCAGTGTCACTCATGACCCCCGTGCTCCACTCTGCGCTGGGGGTGCGGCCCCGAGGGCGGGGGGTGGGTCCCACACACGCGTGTCACCCATCACACGTGCCGTGGCATTAAACTCTGATAACAGCCATCTCAGCCTGATCTGAACATCACTTCACACCAAGGACAGCATCTCTGCTGGAAGGTCAAGGCCAGCGTTTGCCATCCTGGCGGCCCAGGACTCCTATGTGGGACCAAAGTCCTCGTGAGGGTGGCGACCAGTACGGGCCACCTGTAGACAGCACCCCATTGAAGCCTGTGGGATGTTGGTCTCTCTTTACAGACACGGGAATGGAGACTCAGAGACGGGAAGTACGAAGGTCAAGGCCGTGGTCCCCTGGCTCCGCTGGGAAATGAGGATGGGCCGCCATTACGGATGTCACTCCCTGGTTTTCAAGGACGCATAGCTTCTCTTCGCCTGCCTCCCTGGCCGATCCCGCTTTTTCCGTTACCTTCCGCCACTGCTGAGGGCACAGCCTGGCAGGCATGCCACACTCCGCCTTCCACACCAGCTCCACCCCTGTCCCTCTCACAGGGGCCCCTGAGGACAGCAGGATGGCAGACGCCTCGAGTGGCTTGTCCCTACCCGTCTTGCCCTTTTCCCACAACGGGGCTCCAATTTTGCATGGGGTGGCATGGCACCAGGGCAAAGCCGACTCTCCCCACACCACCTGCCCTGTGGCTACGGCCAGTGCCAGCCAGCAAGGTGGAGACGGAAGTCCCCTCTCTGAAAACAAGAGCCTCTCGTGCTGGGTCCCTGTTCCTTCCGGACCCGCTGCTGACCTGAGGCCTGGAGGGGTAGGAGCCTCTTGGAATGGCAAGGACAAAACTGTACCCCAAGGACAGCGGGACAGGAAGATGGGACGGGGGTCCAGACCCTTCCAGGACCTTGCTCTGAAACATCACAGGTGCTATGCGGCTGGCGGTGTCGTATCCCTCTCATGAACAGGGGCTGAGGCTCAGGGACAGTGACGCGCACAGCCAGTGATGCTGGACTCCTAGAGCCCTGGCCTGCCCCACCTGGGGCACAGCCAGCAGGCGACCAGGCCCAGGGGAGGCCTTACCTGGGTGTGGGGCTGCTGTCGCTGCCCTTGCAGGAGCCCGAGTTGCTGCTGCTGCTGACAGAGGAGGTGCCGTAGGCGTCCCGCACGCTCACTGGGGGAGAGGTGCGCCTGGAGGCAGGGAGAAGAGGCAGGTGCTCGTTCTGGCTGGCAGGCAGCGGCGGACACTGGGTGAACACCGCCAGGCCGCTGCGGCCCAAAGGGCCCCCACTGCGGGGTCGCCACCGGGGAGAGAAGCAGAGGGGACAGGGGGACGCACAGACAGGGGTGACAGAACAGATAGCGCAAATCAAGATGGAAAACCAGGAGCAGGCTGGTCCTCCTGGTTCCCCAGGACGGGAATGCAGGCTGGGCAGGGCTGGGGGCGGCGGTGGGGGGGGGGGGTGTCCCATCTGCTCTCGCCAGGGGTCCTCAACTTCCAGGGTCCCCCGAGCCCAGAGGAGGGCCCTGCCTGGGCTGACACAGGTGGGGCAGAGCAGGGCAGGCAGGGGTAGGGACAGGAGGAGGGCACACAAAGGTCAAAGTCAAGGCCGGGGCAGAGTGAGCCAGAGTGGGTGACGGCATTCGTCCCCTCGGGAAGCTGTGAAGCTTAAGGGCAGTACTGGAGCTGGTAGGAATCCAGCGGTTTCCTTCTTCAAAGACCTTTTCTATCCACTGTGTCACTTGAGCCCTTAAATAGTTCCAGGAGGAGGTGTGTGGTGGCAAGCCCAGTTTTAAAGCTGGGAAACCTGGGGAAAGTCGGTGGCAGACTGGGGACAGAGACCCTCCCTCCTCCCACCGTCTGAAGCCAAGGGGTGGGGGGGGACTCACCTGCGGGATCCAGCAGAGGCCCGTCTACTGCCCGGCAGGGACATGGCCATGAGGCTGCGGGTCCGGGTGAGGGGCGGGATGGGCGGTGTCCCCGGGGCTGAGGAGAGAGGGCGCGTTGGGGGGGGCGCGGGGAGGGCCGGACCAGGCCACGTCATCCTTTCGCCGGGGCCGCTTCCTGGCATGGCTCTGCTCTCACCCTTCAGCAGGACACCCCGGGACTGAGTGGGGGCCTGGCCGGCAGGCTCTGGCCACGGCTCCCGCCACCTGACTTAAAGTCTCGATCCTTGGGCCTCAGGGGCAGCCAGACCTCATGGATCCAACCCCGTGTTCTCCAGATGATCGAATGTGGACAGAGAGCTCGGAGGCCTTGCCTAAGGTCCCACGGGCTTCGGGGCAGGGCTCCTGACTCAGCGCGGCCAAGAGTCCTCTGCACTACAAGCCAGGATCCCTGATCCCTGACTTGGACCCCAGCCCTCGGCAGACAATCCTCCCTCCTCGGCAGTGGGGTGGGGGGGGCTGCAGGCTGGAGGACTCCTGGGGCGGGACCAGGAACCCCCAGTTAGGCTGGGCTAGTCTCGACGTCACCTTCCCAGGGTGCCCGCTGGCGTGTGGCTCAGGGCTTCCTGTCTACAGGGGAGACAAGACAGACCGACATATACCAGCACACGTGTAGAAAGACATATGGATACACACGACTGTGGAAAGGTACTATGTCCCGGCCATTCTGAGGCATGCCACACACGTCTCGGCGCCTGCCCACAATGCAGCACATGCAGCCCCCACCCCCGCACATGCAACCTACACACAGGCATGCATGCACCCGTCCATGCAAACACACGCTGATTTCAGCACGCAGCAGGACCTCAGAGCACAGGCTCAGAGCAGATGAGCAAAGGGGCAAATGGGTACAGAGGCCCTCCTCTGGGGGTGGGGGTGGGGGGCGCTTGGTGGGCTGGACCTTGTAGGAAGCCACCGGGCCTATAGGGACCCTTCCTTGGCATTCTTGACAAGTGGGTAGGGGCTTAGGCTCCAAGGGCAGCCCTGCGGGGGTCTAAGGAGGGGAGAGGCCCCATGGTGGGCTGGGTGTTGGCTGTTGCAGGGAGGCCCCCGGACTGGGTGTCACCCTGGAGCCCCTGTTGTCCGAGGCGGATGGGCCTGGGCTCTTGTGCCAACATGCCCGTCCTATGCTATAGCTCCAGAGCCCCAGTTCCCTCCTCATTCCATGCTCAGAGCAGGGACGAAGGCTGACAGCCTGGGCTCCTGGAGACTCGGCCAAGGACACCATGCCCCAAGCTCCCCCCATGCTGGAGAGAAGCTTCCACCGTGCCCCGCTGCGCGCAGACCCCGTGCCAAGCACGTTACGTACAGTGTGCCATTGAATTCTCCCAAAAACCCTATGAGGAAGTGCCGTGATTAGTCCCCTCGCCGATGACAAATCCCCGAGCCTCCCAGAGGAGGGACTCTGGCCCAGTCACACCCACGCAGTGCAGCAGGGCCCACATCGGAACCAGGCCAGGCCTAGACACCCCAGGAGCTGCGTCTCAGACTCCGGGGTCCCCTGGCCGGGCACCACCCCTTCCCACGTCACGGCCTCCCGGGAGCCTGGTCGGCCCGCCCAGTGGCGGGGCTGCCTCCTGAGAGGACAAAGGCTCTGCTCAGGTGGCCTGTTTCCTGGCCGTGACACAGAACGTGGCCTGTTCCCCTGGAGGACCGGGACACAGCCAGCATTGTCTGTCCGGAGGTGTCGGGTGCCGGGCGCAGAGGCTGCGGACACCATGCCTGTCACCTGAGCTGCTCCCCCAGCTCGCACCCGTCATGGCCCAGTCAGGCAGGGCCCCTGGGCAATGTAGGGCCGGCCCTTGGAGGAGGAGCCATGGGATGGAAGACAGTGCTCCCCACACTCGTCAGGAAGGCCACCGAGGGCTCCAGGCCTCCCGGGCACCACTTGGGGCCGATGGAGGGGGGGGTGGTAATTTGTCATCATATGTGGGTCCAAGGTCACAGAGCTGGACACACCCTGGCTTCTAGTCCCAGGCAGCCTGGCTGCCCCAGCCATCCTCCCGGCCTCACCCCTTCCCTTCTTGCTCTTGGGAGGATGCGCTGAAGAGGCTGTGCCTTCAGGAGGACTTTTCAGCAGCGGCAGGACTCGGTGGGACTCAGATCCAAGGACAGGCCTCGCCCTTCCAGGCCAGTTCTCGGCCAAGGGTGGCTAAGGAGCGAGGGAAGTCCAGGCGGAGTCGCGGGCATCTGTCCTGGGAGGCAGGCAAGGCGCCTGGTTTGCCTTGGTGCGGAGCGTGGCTTCAGTACAATGAAGGCTTTGTCCCTCCCCCCCCCCCCCCCCCGTCCCTGCTCCCACCTGCCCGGCAACCCCACCCCTCCCTCCTTCTGCGCTCCCTCTTCCTCCCTGGCCTGTGGGGTGGGAAGGAGACAGCGTTTGTACTTGGATGGACCTGCTGGTCTCCTGGGAGGCCAGAGCCAGCCAGCCAGCCATTCAGGACAGAGGTGGAAGTGCTATTTCCCCTGCTGGGACAGGACCTTGCAGGCAGGGGTCCCTCAGGGGAGGGCAGAAGCCACCCAGGCCCAAAGGGAAGCCACCTCTTCAGGATCCTGCTCAGAAGCCTCGGTGTGCCCCGTGTGCTCGCTCAGGTCCCCCCTCCCCCTGTGGGCCCCAGAGAGGAGGCGGGTTGCCATGGTCTCCGAGCCGCCTGCCTGCTCCCCTTGAGGCCCGCAGCCCTGTCCCCTGGCAGCAGAGGCTGCCACTTGGAGGGAGAGGTGGAAAGGAAACCCTTCACCATGGGGAGCTGGACTGAGTCTCTTAGCACCTTAACCCTCCCGCCAGCCTCCCTCCACATCCCCATCCTGCCTGCATCCTGCCAACTCTACCGCTTTGATCAGTCCCTCATCTACCCCATGGTCTCCTGAAGGCCTGCGGGGGGTGGGGGTGGGGGGTCCAGGGGATACACTGGGATCTAGGAGACAGGACACCGAAGGACGTAGAAATGGAATCAGATCTGGGCTCCGTTCCCAGCCCTGTCACCCTCCACATGCAGGCCTTGGCAAGTCACGCCACTTCCCTGAATCTGCACCTCCTTGTCCTGGGGTGCACCTCATACGGTAACTGCGGCAGGATAATGCGTGCCCGGGGCTCAGCCCGGTGCCCGTCACACAATGCACACTCAAACGGGGGGCTGCCGGTGTAGAACATTGCAACGCAACGTGAGCTTCAAAACAGAAGCACACTCAAGGCATTCTGTGGCCTCACGAGGGTCAGAGAAAGCTTCTCCAAAAGGAAATTTACACTGGGTCTTGAAGGATGAATAGGAGTTCGTCAGCAGGAGAAAGCAAGTGGGAAGGAAGGAGAAGGCGGGGCAAAGGCCGTGAGTCATTCAACTGTGCGGCTGCCGAGGACACTAGGAGCCTGGTGAGGTCAGAGGCCCAGTTCAGACTTGCGGTTTAAAAAGCCCCTGGGGGAGAGGACCTTAGTGGGGTGTGGCTGGGAAGGGACAGGAATACAGGCAGAGGGCCAGTCAGGAGGTTATCAAGAACTTCCAAGGGAGAAATCAGAAGAGACTGGGTGAGGGCAGCAGGGGCAATGGGGAAGAGATGTCTGGAACCTCAAGAGGCATCAGGGGCCCCCAATTAAGTAAAAATTGGGCACGGCTCTTGGTCCTGGCATTCAAGGCCCGTTCATCTATACCCTCGCGGGGAAGCCCGGTCAGTCACTCTTGCGCCTCCGCGTGGGCCGTTGGTCCAGCCTGCAGCACCCTCCCTGCCCTCTGCTCATGCATGCGCTGCATACCGCCTGCAAGGCTCTGGCCCGCATAGCTCTCCCCTCCGACTTTCCGATTCACTTACTGTCGGGGCCACTTAGCATGCCATGCTTTGGGTGGAAACTCAGGGAGCACCACCCTTGGGGGGATTTCACGAAAACAAACACAACCAACACACAACTGTTAGCAACACAACTGTCTGAGCACGTCTGGTGGGCCAAGGGGTCGGATCAGATGGTCTCTAAATTAAAGCCTTATTCGCCTTCAGTGACTAGGGCTCCTGGGGTTTCAGTTTCCACCGCTGCGACACGAGGAAGCTGCATTCCTTCAGAGACACGGTGGCATTGTACTCAATCAGCGAGTCATGGGGGAGAGACCAGGCGCTTGCGTTAATCCAATATTTTAGCTAAGTGAATGTCCCTGAATGTACTCTCCGTGATTTTTTTTGCAAACGTTCGGTCATCAGTAAAAGAAGCAAGCCACCCTCAAATCCCAGGGAACAGGATGGTCCGTGTCTGATGACTCAGACCTCTGGCAGCAGAGGACACAGCCGACAGAACAGACCTGGGAGGGGTCCTCTCTCTGCCAAGGCGACTCCGGAAGGCTGAGCAGCCCTCCTGGCAAACAGCAGAGCGTCTGGTGCTCCTCAAAGGCCAGTGCGGTGCGAGCCTGGGCTGAGAGCGTGCCAGCAGCCGTGCTCCGAGCCCCGGAGGGTCAGTGCTCACGGGGGCTAGCTATCCGCGGCTTGGGAGCTCGGGACACCTTCCACTGGCTTCTCGCCCCCCCCTCCCCTCCCCCCACTGTGGGTGTCTGGCCCCTCAGAAACGGACGCTCTTTCTCCCTGAACTTGGGAAGGCTGTTCTCCAGCTTGCTTCCTGCGTCCTGCACAAGCTGTCCCCTGTGTTGGAGCCACAGGTGGGATCCATCGGACCCCTTCTTGTCACTGTGACAGCCCCATAACCTGGCCAAGGAGACGGCTCCCCTTGTGTCTGTTTCACTTCCAGAAGGCCTCCTGTTAGCCTGCTTCTCTATCTAAAAAAGGTTCTGTGGGTTTAAAATGCACGTACTGTGTATTTTCCACAATGAGCTACTTGGCGTCGAGTGGGACGGCCGTAATGAGACAGACCAAGACGAGTGTGGGTGGGGCCGCGGAGATGCTGGGATTGTCACCCACGGCTGGTGGGAACGCAAAGCGGCGCGGCCACCGTGGAAAGCAGCGCGGCAGCTCCCCGGAACGCTACACGCAGACTTGGCAGGTACCCTGGCACTTCTGGCGGGTCAATAACCCCGAAGAATAGGACACGGGAGCGCAAGGGAGAGCTCGTCCGGCAATGTTCGTGGCGGCCCCGCTCAGCGTAGCCACAAGGAGGGCAACGACCCAAATATCTGCCAGTGTCCAATGAATGGATAAA